ATCCCAGAACTTTGGAAGGCCAAGGCGGGAGGATCACCTGATGTCAGGAGTCCAAGACCAACCCGGCCAGCATGGTGAAACTCCATCTCTACTATAAATGCAAAAATTAGCCGGGCATGGTGGCGCACACCTGTTATGCCAGCTACTCGGGAGGCTGAGGCATGAGAATCGCTTGAACCTGGGGGGAGCACGTTGCAGTGAGCCGAGATCACACCACTGTACTCCAGCCTGGACCACAGAGCAAGACTCAATCTCAAAAAAAAAAAAAAAAAAAGAAAATTTAAATTGTGTTTTCACATGGAGCCCATGTTCCCAGAACACAAGCCCTGCTCTATGCTCCAAGGGCACACAGGGTGCCCCTTTATCTTAATGCTCACCATATTCCATGGCAGCCATTGGCACGTGTCTGTACATCGCACTAGACTTCCTGCGCATGAGGCAGGGATCATTATTACCTTTCTGTCCCCAATGTCTGGCCTGGAAGACACTCAGTAAATGATTCCTGAACTAAGTCAGTTAACAGCATCATCTCAGATATGAACTTAAAACCATTAGCTGAATGCACATTTCAGCACAACCAAAGTTCTGCTATAATAAGCAGCACAGGCGTCTCTGGAGAGGATTTTAATTGGGACTACGAACGATGTGCACGATCATGGTAAGAGGTTTCATGCTGGCTGTTCTCCAAGGTGCGACACAGAGAAACACCACTAACCTCAAAGATACCTGCTGCTTTGTAATGAGATGAGAGACGATGTGGACGGACTATTGTAAATATTTCAAAAGGAGAAACAATGCAAGGAAAGAATCGTATCAGTTTCCCTTTACATTCTTAGAGAAAACTGATTTTTCTTTTGGGATGATTTAAAAAGAAAATGACATTTCTGGATTTTTTTTTTTTTTTCTGAGACTGGGTCTTGGCTCTGTGCCAAGATTGGAGTACAGTGGAGCAATCGCAGCTCACTGTAGCCTTAAGTGATCTTCCCACCTCAGCCTCCAGAGTAGCAGGGACCACAGGCATGCACCACCACATTCAGCTAACTTTTCTGTTATACAGATGGGGTCTTGCTATGTTGTCCAGGCTGGTCTTGAACCCCTTGGCCTCAAGTGATCCTCCTGCCTTGACTTCCCAAAGATTTAGCCTAAGCGACCATGTCTTATCGGAAAATAGACATTAGAGCAAATGCATTTCTGTAAGATTTTCTACCTCTTTTCACTGGGGAAAAAGGTAACTTGCCTCCAAGGGTCGGAGACAAAGCCGTTACTGCAGACAAAAGCGCTGTGCATCCCGGGAACCGCTACACCACGAGGCACGGCCGTGCACCCTGGATGCAGGAGTAACACACGAGGCTAGCACAGGCTGATGCTGGCCCTCTCCAAAAGTAGGCCTATCCTTCCTCCTCTCCTCAGCCCCCTCTCCCTTCAGGCCTCAGTGGCTGCTGAGAGGGGAGAGGCCACAACTAGAGGAGGCTCTCAACTCCACCAGGGACAGGAGCCCCGGACGCTGGGGACTCAACTGCTGCCCTCTGCGCCCATCTCCTTCTGGTCCAGCCTTCTGAGGAGCCAGGTGTGGCCACGTTGACCCTCTTTCCCTTCTGTGGCTCCTACAAAAACCAGTTCAGCGAGCCCAGGCTGCCTCACACTCCAGGGACACCCAGCACAGGCCCCCTCCATGACCTTATCCAAGCTCCTGGGGCCAGAAGGGTCTTGCAATATTTCACTTCCCAGTTGAACATCCCCAGCCTGAAATCCAAAGTGCTCCGAAGAGCATTTCCTTCGAGTGTCATGAGGAAGCTCGGAATGTTTCAGGTTTCGGAGCATTTTGGAGTAGGGACTCTCAGCCTTAATTTGAACCTCTTCAAGGAAGCCACTCATTGAAGCCCCCAATGTCCACCCTACACAATCCCAGCACACCCTCTAAAGTCCTCAGCAATAGATTTTCTTTCTTCAAAAATAACCACAAGTCACAAACTCACACGCAATCACAGAAGGGGGTTGTGGACACCCGCACAGATGATGAAATTTAAATGTCACATTTTTACCTGAGTAATTTAAAGTCATTCCTCAAAACACACCTGTTTTACTGAGTTGCATTTTAAGGTGAACACATACAAATCATTTCAGGGAAACAAACGTCACTTTGGGCTGCGTGTGGTTTCTTGACTCCCGTGAATAACTCCGTTCACCCTCACTTCTGGATAAGGGAGACGATGCAAAGAAATCTGTTAAAACAAAGACATGAAAACAAGTTTAAGAAGGGTTTGAAAGGTTCCTCCTGTCCCCCTGGAGGGGAGACGAGGACACTTGGAAAGCTCACGGGGGACAGGAGCACGGCCCCCTCGGTGTGCCATGGAGGCCGCCTCGCCAAGGGGAGAGGATCATGCCTGGAAGACTCACAGGGGTGGGAGCACAGCCTCCTCAGTGCTTTCTACACTCAGTAGCTTCAGAAATTCCTACAGAAGCAGAACACATCATGAGAACTGAGACTGGAACACCCCAAAGAAAGGGGACAAGGGGTCAAAAAAAGCATTCGATCATTACCAAGGAGCGCGGGCATGAAGCCGCTTCAAAGACCATGTGAGAAGTCACTCATAGGGCCGGGCACGGTGGCTCACGCCTGTAATCCCAGCACTTTGGGAGGCCGAGACGGGCGGATCACGAGGTCAGGAGATCGAGACCATCCTGGCTAACACGGTGAAACCCCGTCTCTACTAAAAAATACAAAAAAAAAACTAGCCGGGCGAGGTGGCAGGTGCCTGTAGTCCCAGCTACTCGCGAGGCTGAGGCAGGAGAATGGCGTAAACCCGGGAGGCGGAGCTTGCAATGAGCTGAGATCCGGCCACTGCACTCCAGTCTGGGTGACAGAGCGAGACTCCGTCTCAAAAAAAAAAAAAAAAAAAAAAAAAGAGAGAAGTCACTCATAGGCGTTTCAGAAAATAAGGGTAGCGCGAGATTGCTCAATCAGCTCAAACAGGCTGCCGTCCCTCAGGCCATGAAGTCCCTGAGATGAGCCTCTCACTGAGCAGAAGTCACTCGCATCTCTGCCAGAGAAAGGACTACAAGCTGACACATAACCTCATGAAACCTGGGCTTCAGCTGGTTGACAACAGTGAGTCTGACATGGTACATCCCTCCAGATGGTTAAAGACCCCAGGGGTTCATCGGACAACCTCAAAGGGCTGTGTCTGTCCAGCCCCTTTTCCAAGTTCTGGATGATTTTTCCTAATGTACTATAAGCAACATGTTCCAGTAGAGACGGAATTAACTGACTCTGGGTCCTCTTAATTTTGAAGTTAGAAACACACTTGGCCAGGCACGGTGGCTCATACCTGTGATCTCAGTACTTTGGGAGGCTGAGGCAGCTGGACTGCTTAAGTCCAGGAGTTTGAGTCCAACCTGGGCAACATTGCAAAACTCCATCTCTACAAAAAATACAAAAATAAGTCAGGCATGGGGACTCGTGGAACATGTGCCTGTGGGTCCTGGCTACTCAGGAGACTGAGGCAGGAGGATCGCTTGAGCCTAGGAGGTTAAGGCTGTAGTAAGCTTTGCTTACACCACTGCCTGGGCAACAAAAAGGTTTTTTTTTTGTTTTGTTTTTGTTTTTTGGCCTGTCTCAAAAAAACCAGAGAATAAGAATTATATACCTGACTAGCCCAAAATAGGCCTTGTGGAACAACCTGAAACACAGCTGCAAATTCTGGCAGGGCCTCCCCTGGCTTGATTTGTGGTGAGTGCAGGACCGCTCTGAAGGATAGGACCCCAGGCACCTACCGAGACTAGACCTTACAGTACAACTTCCCTTTGCTGGACGGAACACTGGCCTTGGAGCCTGGGACACCCTGGGGCAGTGCCACCATCCCGAGGCCACCATGGCACAAGCAGGCCCTACTATCATGAAGCCTGGGACATCCTGGGGCAGTGCCACCAACCCGAGGCTACTGTGACACAAGGGGGCCCTGGTGCCACTGAGAGGCTGCACAGCAGGTCCAAGCCCAGGCCAGGAGTGAAGAAGCTCCACATCCTTTTGATCCCTCCAGCTGAGTCCACAGATGTCTTGGAGCAGAAATGCATCACCCTCAATGTCCACGGGTAAGTTTTTGGACACAGAATCTGGAAGCATAAAAGATGGTTCTGGGCTGGTTGGTTGCCGGCTCAGATCTGTCCTCTTTCCAGACAAAACCTGGCTCACACCAAGCAGCGTCTACGTCCTGGAAGACTTGCTAAACACAAGTGCAGTTACAAAGCGGAGAAACTGGAGGGGGCTGGGCTGTGCTCCAGTGGCACCAGCGTTTCTCAGGAAGACCCCGGGCATTACAGGGTTCAGGGCAAGGGCTTCCTGGGATCCAGGACATGGAACAAGAACCCATTTCCCGGTCCTGTTGAATATGAATCGGTTAAGGGCCGATTCCCTTGGAGGACTGAGCACCGCCCCACAACACCTTGGTATGGGTATGTTATTACCCATACCAAGGTAATAACAAGCCCGTTACCAGCAGGAGGCTGGTGATGAAGACATGAGGACCAGATGAGCACGAGGGATCCCGACAGATCATCCCTGGCACCGAGCAAGGGGCGGACAGTACCCACTGTTCCTGATGCATCAGCCCTGGCACTGAGCGAGGGGTGGCAGCACGGCCTGTGCCCCTGCAGATGCAGAGGGATGTGAGGGCGGTGCAGGCTGGGCTTGGAGGCTAACTCAACCACCTGCGCTTGCACTTGCGTTCCTCATGGCAGGGAGGCGAGGCACAGGCAGCATTAGGGCTCACCTTGGTCCCGGGCTGCACTTTTTTCTGCTTATGAGTCGTGCTCGCTTTACATGGACAGGCATAGCTATAATAACGGTTCCCTGATTATTTCGCTGCCTACATAAAGGGCTTTCAGAATTCACTTCCATCCTTAGGAAAGGCAGCCAACACCAGGCTGTCTCCCTTAAGATGCCATGTCTCATATGGGGAAAAAAAAAATCAAGAGAAATCAAATAAAGGCCATAAAATACATCAGTTTCAACACTAAAATTTAATAGTACGCTTTAAATTGAAGATGAGTTAAGTCACATTTCCAAACCTCTGAAAGCACGGTTACTGGGAGGGAATGGTTTGCAACACACAAAAGCAGCTCTGTAGAAGTGCCCAGGCTGGATGAAGGCTCAAACGTCAGTGCAAGGAGAAAGTCTGAACAAACTCTCTCCTGCCCTGCTGCTGTCCTCTTCCAAAACACACTGTTTATCTGTCAGTTTAGAACAAGGCCTAAGGAGGGGGGAGGCAGGCCTGGGAGGGTCACCTAGCATCCAAGCTCCTCACGCACACAACTGCACCAGGCTGAACTGAGAAGTACAAACACAACTAATTCTCCCCAAAAAGAAGACGGAAAGCCGCACACTGCCACGCCAGGCACCCTGCAGATGAGAAGATTGAGGGGAGCCAGAGGTACCTTTAATCTTGCTTGCATGGTGGAGGGAGAGGAATAATGCCACTCACTTGAGTGTTGCACAATTCTTCCTAGCACTGAGTGGCAGAAAACAAAAATTGTAGATGCTTCCTCAGATAAATGTTTCTGAAGAACTGAACATAAATTACGTTCAGGAAATAGCATTATGAATGCCTCAAGTGCTTCTGTTTTCAATAATCCCAGAGTAATTCTACAAACCCGGGAATCAGTCTCACCCAACTCCAGGATCACGGCCCAGGTGACGTGGGCACACATATCCTGAAGCTCCAATGCTCAACTAAAGTGGGGCGAGTGAAAATGATCCTGGGTATAATTTACACGGACACAGGAAGGTGGCTGAGCCCCAAATCCCTAAACCAGGAAGACCAGTGTCCTTCAGGGGCCTCACCTCTGTCCTTTCCCAGCCTCTGGGAACCACCACTCTGCTCTCTACTGATACAAATGCCCCTCCAAGGTACAACCAGGAAGATCATCATTTAAAACTCAGGAACGTGGCAGAACAAAGCTGTCAGGAGATTTTAATCACCAACACCACTTGTTACATGACCCAAAGATGATTAAAATCCCAGGCCCTTCAAGACTGAATGTTATCTATACTTAAATGCATTTCATCACCATATTGGGGGGTTATTCCTTTGTTTTGCTGCAAATATATCCAACTGCTGTAAAAGGAAAACGCAATTTGTGAACGAAGCTTCTTGGAGTGTCTCAACAGGCCTCGAGGTAGCATAAAAGGCAGGACTTCCTGGCAGAAATGCTCAGCTCTGAGGTCAGGTGAAGTTCTTGAGCACCAACCAAGGCAAAATAAGGTCGAAGACCACACCACACTTTCCTCAATCACATCTTCATTCCACCTTTCCTTCTATTTCTCACGACTTCACTGGGAGAAATTGTGCTGAAAGAAAATGGAAACACACACTTACATAGGAGACCCTACAGATGCTGAGAATGGGTGCAGCCGTCACAGTCCGAATGTCCTTTCAGGGCCATCTGACCTGGCTGGGATCCAAGTATCCAAGTGCAGGATTGTATGTCAGACCCGTGAAGCCAGGATTACAGCCACTGAACGGCAGTTTTCCATCCCACGGAAACCGGCCTTGCTAGGGGCTTCCTCGGGGACCACTGACCTCATGCCACCACCCGTCAACTACTTCAACTAACCTACATCATGGCAGAGGCCTCCCTAGGCAGACTAGCCCTGCCCAAGTCCTGCTTCATGGCAAACCCTCCAGACAAACATCCTTGGACTCCTCCAGGAGGCTGTGCTCGGAAGGTGCCCTCATTTACTTCTGTGGCTCTGAGACATTTAACTAGAGCCCAACACACTTCTTCCTGTTCACATAGTATTGAGTTAAAAGATTTTTGAGTAAACTTTCACTGGGAAAAATACCATTTCAGGAGCCCCAGTGACCACAATGAAAATGTTTTTACCTTCCCTTACGTGACATCGGCAACACCAGGTCCAGGAAACGTTCTGGATCTCAGATAATGGCATATCCACTCATAGTAAGTCTTGGTCTTGTTTCACAAGCTATCAAATGCTGCCCAGAAGCAGGAAAAACCTCAAAACGTGGCAGGGAGGGGCGACCAGCGTGAGTTCTAAGGCCAGAACACCCGGGTCTGCTGACAGCGTGGTGAGGGGCGAACAGTGCAGGGTCTAAGGCCAGACCGCCCGGGTCCCGCTGACAGTGTGGCTTCAGGAGTTTCCTAAATCCTCTGCTCTCCAAGTTTCATGTCAGAAAAATGTAGTGATAACCGTGTCCACCTCATTTAAATATATACACACATACACACACACACACATATATATACATACATACACACACACACACGCACATATATATACTCCAAAACTACAGCCCTATAAAGGTCATTAATCCTAGTTATCCTCAAGGCATTGAGCGATCAATAATGAGCCATCCCCCTGCTGCTGACCTGCCTCAGCCGCACCCTCCAGAAACCCCGCATCCACACCAGCCACACAGGATGAGGCCAGGGAAGGAGCAGGACTGTGTCTTGGGAACTTAAACTCTGGAAGCTGAGTTAAATCAGTGCCGCTCAAATCTTGTCACCAACTATCTTGTTAAATTGGGAGATTCCATCTGGGGATCTTGAAGGAACCTGAGGCTCTACATTGAGTGAGATGAGCACTCGTGCTGCAATGAGACGGCAGGGAAAGCAACCGAATCTGGGGTCGCAGCTGCCTGAGGCTTGGGTCCCACCAGGAAAGTGGCACCAGGGCCCTCAGGACAGTGGCAGAGGTCCCAGGAGGCAAGTCCCAGCGCAGAGACTCGTGGACCCAAAGATTGCTCCAGGGCCAGGAGGGGCTGCTGCGCTGACAGCCACGAGGCAGGCAGCCTTCGAGCTCCTCCAGCTGCCATCCTGCAGGCAGGGAGGACAGTGCCCAGACCACCCCGGGGCTCCCCCAGCCTGCCAGGCTGGTACTCTTACTCCAGCCACTGACAAGAGTCCCCATGTTCCAAGCTAGGTTGAAACAGTGCCTCAGGCCTCGGGGCACATGCAACCCCCCTGCAGGGCCACTCCTACCCAACACCTGGGGATGGCTATTCCCACACATCCCCAACTCACAGCAAAACTTAAAAATGAAAGTCGGAAGATACACAGCCAGGAAACCAATGCTCAAGAAGCAACTCCAGGGTGACTCTTCCTAGAGCTATTGCTACTGAACATCTTTAAAAACATTTCCAGGGTGACTTCCTAGAGCAATTGCTGTTGAAAATCTTTAAAATTCTTCATTTCAAAATTAGCTTTTATTACACTGTCTTCCCTATTCTACCGAGACTCTAGAAAACAAAACCATTACAATTTCCAATTCTATCTTATAGCAAGTTAGAAAAACACATGTTTCCTCAAAGGATTCTACGTGTTTCCTTGGCAATATCCTTTCCATGCCCCATGCTACTGCCCCCAACAGGGAAGGCTTTTCCAACCCAACCCAATCCAACCCAACCCAACCGCTCTGAGACAGGCCCCTAACGAATCATCTACAAACTCTTGAGACAGGCTTGCCCTGACAAATCATCTGCAAACTCCATCTTCCATTAAAAACAGTACCGAAAATGAGCATATTACCACTTTTTAAAAATTACTGTAAAGTGGACAGTGTTCAGTTCTGTGAATTTCGGCACAAATATTCCCATAATCGTCATCACACAAGCAGAACAGTCCAACAGCCCCAAACCCACTCACGGGGCCTCATAAGCATACCCTCCCATTCTCAGCAACCACCCTCTCCGTGTCCTCCCATCCCCCGGGTCTGTCTTTTGCGAGTGTTGTCGCAAAACACTCGCAAAATCACGATTTCCTGGGCATTGTGCTTGGAGGTGCACCCGGGGTGTCCTGTGATCAACAGCCAGGCCTCGGGGCTGCTGGGTATTTATTGTTCCACGTATGGCTGTGGCACATTGTAACCTGTTTTGGGCAACTATAGACAGCGCTATTAACATCTGGGCACAGTTTTTCTTAAACATCAGATTCTGTTTCTCTAGGGTAAATACCCAGGATTGGGGTCACCGGGCCCCACGTTTGTGTGAGTTCAGTTTTGTAAGAAACCGCCAAGCTGTCTGCACCATGCTGAACCCCAGCATCGCACAGGAGTCCCGACTGCCTGTCCTCACCAGCACCTGGGGCTGTCGGAAGACCTTAGTCAGGCGCTCCACAGGGGTGTGAACAAATTCACTGCGGCTTCAGTGCACATCTTGGTGCAACCAGTCACGCTGAAAGTCATTTCAGATGCTTTCGGGCCATCCTCCTGTACTTCTCAGCGAAGCATCTGTTCAGGTCTCTTCCACTTTTAAGTCAGGTGATTTGTTCTCTGTCAAGAGCCGTGGGAGTCCTGTGCATTCTGGATACAAGTCCTTTGCCAGCTGCATGGTTCATAGACATCTTCTCCCCATCTATCGAAAATGTGTCTCTTCAATTCCCTAGGGGTGTCTTTTATATTAGAAGTTTAATTTTGATGAGTCTTACCTACTTGTTTTCTTCCTTGATTATGGATCATGGTATGGCTAAGAGCTCTCACCCTCGGTCTCCACAATTTCCGTTTCTTCTATAGGTTTTGTAGTTTGGTATTTTACATTCAGGGCTATGGTCCACCTTAATTTTCATACAGAAATTTCTCCCTGTTTTCACTCTTTTGCATATGACTGTCCCATAATTCCAGCACCATTTGTTGAAAAGACTCAAATTCCACTCAACTGCTTTTGCATCTTTGGATCTGTTCTGGACTCCACTCTGTCAGCTGACCCGTGTGTCCATCCTGAGTATAATTTATGACTTTAGTGGCTGTCTCTGTGAAAAAAGTAACTGTCTGGAAGCAAAAACCACATTAGAAATGCTCTAAATAAGATTCTTCCTGTTGACAGGCGAGCAAAGCCACTGCCCTAAGCAGAGGTGAGGCCTCAACAGCTCCCAGGCACAACCTTAACACACAATGGGGAAGGGAATTCATTTCAAGGGCCACAACGTGAGACCAGCATAGCCATGAAAACTGCAACAATTTCACAACAGAATGAAATTCATAAAAAACTGCTGAGAAGCGTGTGATAAGTTACATAAATCACTGTTCCTTAAATTCTGACGGTTGACTAGAACAGAAATAGCTTCACGGTACAGTTCAAACAGGAGAAAGGTAGGTAGGGGTGGTTTCCACACCACACAGGGCCTGCAGGAAACGGACACTCTTCTTCTAAACGGGAGATCCCGGGAGTGATGTGATAAACCATGGTGAGAGGCCCGGAACTGTGCAAGCCGGAGTCGCGGCCTTGGCCCCACCACGGAGCCTGTGTCCATGAACGACAAGGCTGAAATGTCAGGCCGGGGCAACTGAGGCAGTTATCAGGGGACAAGAAAACGAGCGCACGGTGGAGGCAAAGGTCTGAAATCGCGCGGCAACTTTGAGTAAAGTGGGACAAACTGACTCAAAATACAGGTTTCAAAAACCATCACAGAGAGCTGTTCCTCAGCTCTGGAAAGGCTAAGTGACTAATGCCCACACTGAGCATCTGCTCCCAGAGACGACCCTGGTGACCTAAGGCCCAGCTCTTCCGAACCCGCGCCAAACCTCAGTGAGGAACTTTGTTGGTATCTTATGGCACATTGACATGTTCCCTTAAAATCTGGTATTTCATCAACAATACAGGCGCCAGCTTTGACTCATACACATTTCGATTAAATAAGATAATTTACACCCTGACCATGCCAGGTAAGAGGTTTACTACAATCTTTAAACAGAGCCAGAGGCTACAGTCTGCTCCTACACAACACCATGTCTCTACAAGTTCTATGGGTTTTTACTTTCCATGTCTTCACTTGCCTAGTGCTAGAAAGCAGATTAAAAACAGAAGGAACCCAGAAGCACTATTGAATGAGACTCAAATATCTTGCAGTCATCATCGTGATGAGATGTTTATTAAACAGAAATGTTCTCCCCTGTAGAAAGCAGCACACATCAACACGCACTGATAACTGTCGCCAGCATTCCAGATCATCTTCCCTTCCATGGCCACAGTGCAGGGCAATGGACCACGCACACCTGCAGACCCACGGAAAGCGGGGTGACATGGCCGATTCTTGTAGCAAGCAGGCCAGGGTGCACTCAAAGTGCATCTCTTTCCAGAGGGCCACCACGGAAAGTTACACATTTATTCCACTAGTTAATGGCACTGCACCGAACATTTCTGTAAGATTCTCTAAGCAAGCATTTCCTTCTGCCTAAAATGGCCCGACACAAACTGAAAAAGCTCTTGGAGCTGCCAAAGACTTCAGTATCCCCTTAACTATTGTCATGTACGCCCGTGTGAAGAGACCACTAAACAGGCTTTGTGAGCACAATATGTCTGTTTATTTCACCTGGGTGCAGGCGGGCTGAGTCCA